CACCTTCACCACCATTACCACCATCACTACTATCTTTATCACCATCAGCAGCAGCAGCAGTATCACCATCATCGCCTCCCGGGGTGAATCGGATACTATCAGTGCCAACCCAAATCTCCTTAGCACTTACTGTTTCAGTGTACAATGATCAACTTCTAGCTGTATCTGTATCTCTTTATTCAAGAACTTTTTCTGGCTATTGGAGCCCACTCTGCCTGAGTCCAGGTGGGCTAGAAGAGCAGGGAACAAATGCCCACCCTCCTGAGGAGCAGCCACTGTCCAGTGACTCTCAGGAATTGATGAATAAACACCTGGGAGGGTATGAATTGACCCTTGGGTGGGTAACTCCAACAACAGCTTCTACATTGTTTCTGATTTTCCCAATGGAATTAAGCTGTAGTTGCCCACGGTGATAACCTGCTTGATAACATATATTATGGGCTGCCTCCCCTTCTTTCTCACATCCTGCTCTCTTGTTTATGCTGGATCACCATTCAATCTCTGCCTCGGGGTCTATGTCTGGGGACAACCCAAACAGCAACTCTGGATTACTGTGAAGATTGCCTTGTAAAACTCTTGATATACATTAAATGCTCAATAAATTCATTATTGCATGAAGGACTAAATGGGGCTTCGCCTTCCTTGAGGAGATAGACCAGGGCAGGGGAAAGGAGAAGGAAGATACCTGGGACCATGGAAGTCAGCCAGAGAGGCTGACCCTCCTCCTACCAACAGCTGCTGCCACTACTCAATCACTCCTGTTCTGAGTTCTCTCTCTGCCCCTCTGAGTGGTGGCAGGTTCAAGGTATGGCAGAATCACAGTGGCCAGAGCCTATGGAGAGGCACAGCAAGCTGTTTTCATAGCCCAACTCCAAGGCCACAGTGCTGTCCTCACTGATTGTGGGGCTACCTCCAAAGCAAACTTTTTCTGGGAAAAAATACAATATTGTCCTTTTTTTTTTTTAAAGAGAGAGAGAGAGAGAGAGAATTTTTACTATTTATTTTTTAGTTTTCGGCGGACACATCTTTCTTTGTATGTGGTGCTGAGGATCGAACCCAGGCCGCACACATGCCAGGCGAGCGCACTACCGCTTGAGCCACATCCCCAGTCCCCTACAATACTGTCCTTGATAGAGCTGCTGTACTTTTATTTCTCCTGGGGTCTGGAAGTCAGGGACAAACCCCCACAGAGATCAGGTGCCCCGGTGGCATTGTCCCACAGCAAACCTGTAGGAAGTGGCTCTGTAGAGGCAGGGACTGGGTGAGATTGAAGGCTTTGTGTGTGTGGTTAGGAGGGGAGGGGACACCCAGCCCGAGTCCTCTCCTGGATCCAGGGCATTCCTGGATCTGAGGAAGGATCCCTGGAGGGAGACGCAGTCTGTCCCCTAAACCGCTCTGCTCCTGCGCTGGATACAAGGGCACAGAGCTGTTAGGAGAGAGGTTGTGGCCCCCACGGCTGCTCCTTAGGTTCTCGGGACTTAGGTGGGGCTAGCTTAGTGGCCCAGCTGCCCTGGGGATCGGCATGATTCAGATGGAAGAGGCGGGCATCTGGATCCAGGCGATGCTCCCCTGTGGGAAAAAGGGACTGAGGAGGCTGAGGGGTGCCCATGGAAGATGCTGTTGTCCTGCCAGAGCCCTCGCCAGGCAGAGCACCGTCCTCCCGGTTGCTGTGGCGCCCAATTACCCCTCTCTCTGGAGAAGCCGCCTCCGCTGATGGAAAATATCTTGACAGGGAACTCACGCCCCGACCCCCACCCGCCGCCTCTCGGGAAGGCAGCCCACACCCCGGCCCCGGCGCCTGGCCTCAAACAGAACGGAAGCCACCTGCGCTCCAGCGCCCCCTCGTGGTCCAGACGAGCTCCAGAGCGCGGCTCAGCCTGCCGGGTCCCTTCCCTCCCCATCCGCCTCCGCTGCCTCCCTGTAGGTAAGGCTCTTCCTGAGGAGCCCGCCTCCCTCTGTGCATCGCCAACTCCTCAAGCCCACCTCTTGGCCTCTGCTTCTCGGTCAGTGGCTCTCAAAAGGTGGTCCCTGGACCAGCAGCGAAAGCATCACAGGGAACATTGTTAGAAAGGTGCATTTTCAGGGTGCAGGTGTCTGTCTTCAGAGCCCTCCAAGTGATTCTGATGAAGCTAAAGTTTGAGGGCTGATGCTCTAAAGAACACAACTGAAGCCTTGTGAAATGGCACCCATCTGTCATCCCAGCGGCTTGGGAAGCGGAAGCAGGAGGATCATAAATTTGAGGCTAGCCTCAGCAACTTAGCGATGTTAGAGGTACCCTGTCTCCAAAAATAAAAAGCAGGCTGGGGTTGTATCTCAGTGGCAGCTGCCCTGGGTTCAATAGCCAGTATGGCAAAATAAAGCAAAACAAAAATAAAACAAAACACACACACTGAAAACAGCTGCTCGTCCTTGGTGCCCACAGAGCCCAGAACCTCTCTGAGCTGGACACAAGTCTGCAGCACTCCTGAAGGAATCCAGGGCCCATGGGCCTAGGAGGAAGGCCACCTCAGCTAGGATGTCCTGGAGGCATCTGTCACTGCTGGTACTGACAATCTTTACACTAAAGTGTGCGGTCAGCTCCAGGAAGAAGGGCACCCTGCAGACATGCTGACCTTGGACCTCTCAGCAGGGACCCCCAGGCTCCTTTAGAGATAGAGACCTGAGGGGAAGTCACATCCCAACATGGATTCTAGCCTCATCAGAGGGGCCCAAGGAGATTTCAAGGTCAAAGAGCACCCAGGGACCTGGCTCTAGACCGATTTCCCACAGGGGACTTACTGATATTCCCTCCAACATCACAGAGCGGAAAGCTGGCTGGCTGCGTGGACCTGTCCCTGCAAGATGCAGAAACAACAGACGGCTCTTCCAGAGGCAGCAAGACCAGTGACTGCTGAGGGACCCAGGTCTTGGCTTCGTTGATTTGTGGTCCCAGCTGGGAGAAGAGGCAGAAGGACCCTCCTGAGAGAGCTGGAGCCCAAGGGAACCCAGCACCCAGGGTCATGGCAGAGGCAGCCAAATGGCCCCTTCCTGCCTGGCATCAGGCTACGAAGGCAGTGGGATAAGGGGTGACAGACGGGGACAGGAGCCTGCTGCGAAGGGCAGATTCTGAGTCTAGATGGATTATTGATATTGTACGATTATGTCTGATAATTATAATGACCACATGAGTATCGTATAATTATCGTATGATAATTATGGGTATCCTCAGTTCAATTCCAGAGTCTGTCCCTGATTGGCTATGTGGCTCTAGGCCAACCTCTTCCCCTCTGTAGGCCTGAGTCTTTCCATCTGTATAAGAAGGAGCTTGAAGCTAGGCCCAGTGGCACAGGCTTCTAACCCTAGCCACTGGGGAGAGTGAGGTAGGGCGACAGCAGGTTCAAGGCCAACCTGAGCAACCTAGCAAGACCCTGTCTCAAAATAAAAAATAAAGAGGGCTGGGGGTACAGCATAGTGGGAGAGCACCCCTGAATTCAACCTTCAGTACCAAAAAAAAAAAAAAAAAAAAAAAAGGAACAGAACAAGATGCTAAGGATGATAATCTGAGAATCTCTGCCAACCCCATGGAGGAAACTCTTGAAGACTGAGGCTACTTTTTGCGCCTGGGAATGATGGCCACACATTGGCCCCACTGACCTTCTTTCAGCAGCTCTTGGCCACACTAGCTATGGACCAAGGACCTTTGCACAAGCAGTTTTTGCCACTGGAACTCTCATGTCATATCCAGACTATACCAGTACCTTACTGAACTCTCACATTGTTCCTTGTATTTCCTATAAAACCTATCACAGTCTGTCATTTGATGCTTATTTTGTGGCTATTTGATTTATATCTCTCTTCCACATGGCTATAAACTTGTAAGGCCAAGACCTCTGCCTTTCTGCTTGCTCTCCTTGCATCCCACGTGTGCAGGGCCTATAGTAGGCATTCATTAAACACCGACTGAAGTGAATGAGTACTGACGGCCAGCATCATTATTATTTGAAGGCAAGGAATTTCCTAAAATGTTGGGGAATCTATTGTCACCACCTCAGCAAAGGCCAAGGGGCAGGCCAGGGACACATGTAATTCCCCGATGGCTTTCAGTGCTGAGGTGCTGAGCCCCTTCTGCAGAGGAGAGGCTCCTGCCTCTGGGGGTCCCTAAGCTGTCCAAGGGTTCCCTCACCATTTCACCCTTTGAACTGGGGCTGAGGTGCTCTTTAAACATCTCAGATTTGGTCCCATTGGTGCTAAGGGTCAGAGGCACCTCCCGGGGGTCCTTATTTGGCCAGGCTCCCTGGGTCTTTGCCACTCTGGGAGTTTGCAAGAGTTTGCTTGCCTGGAATCCCAGCATGAAGGCAGAAACACACATCCATGCACCTACACTAATACCTACACTTAAAAAATCACAAGAGGTGCACACACAAGCACAGATCACAGACATACGATTCCCCGATGTGTGCATACACCTACACAGGCATGAAAACGTGCATGCACGCAAGGGCTCACACTCACACTCACACGGCAGTAGTGGCGTGATGCATCCACACACGCAGCACCAAGGTTTGTGCAAAGACCCAGCACGTGCACAGGCGCAGTGTAGACCAGACCCGGTCAATCTCTGTTCCGCAGTTCGCTCTCCTTGGAACCCTGTTTGGGGCCATCCCAGGAACACTCAGTATTTAGAAAGGCCCTTCCCTCAACTCCCCGCAGTCACCCCGCACCCCACAAAGTGACCCCTACTTTCCAACCCTCGCCAAGGCTCACAAGGGGCTGCCTACAAACTGGGAGGGGTAGATGGTTTCCAGAAGAGGTCCCCTTCTCCCCGGTTTCCCCGTCATCTGCCGCTATCGTCAGCCTCATTTCTGCATGAGGCTGGGGCGCCCTCTGGTGGCGGCAGTCGGTCACTGGAGCCTGGAGGTGCGAAGAATGAGGATGAGCCTTTGGCCCATCCTCCCGGGGCCACTCTCCCACCTCCCACACACTCCCACCTTGTCCCCGTGTGCGTGTATTCTCCGCGGACAAGTCTTGATGCCTCGTCGCAGAACTGGGGGTGAGGCCTCACCTGTCATTCACTTTTCACACCTGGGCGTCCAAGAGACAACCTGGCTGGAAAGAATCATGTCTTAGCTGGGGGGCTGGGCTGTGGGGGGTGAAAGGCAGAGCCCTCCGGGGTCACTGTGGCCTCTTCCTGTCTGAGAATCCTCCCCAACGGGGCTTGAAAATACTTGTTTGTTGGGCTTGGGACAGGAGCCCTGGTTTAGTAGGAGGAGGGAGAGCCTTGGAATAGGGGGCTCTGGGAGTGGAGCCCACCCTGAGGATGGAAGGAAGGAAGGAAGGAAGGGAGGGAGGGAGGACCCATTTAGCTCTTGTAATTCCCCAAACAATCAGACAGAATGCACTATTGCCCTGTTGCTGCAAAGGAAGCAAAGAATCAAAGAGGAAGATCCCAGGCCTCCTCCTCACAGGCTCACCCTACAGGCACATCTTGAGTGTGACACAGGACAGCCAGGGTTTGTGCAGGGAGCCAAGCCAAGGCAGCTCCAGCCCCAGCCTGACACCAGCTCCCGTAAAACACAGTGAGAATCGCCTGAGGGACTGTTTCCCAAAGAAAGAGCCCCGGCCATAGCTGGTTGAGAGCTCACTCTGTGAACTTGGTGAGTAAAAAGCAAACACACATGTGTGTGCACACACATGCTCAGGTGTGCAGTTGGAGAGCTGCAGCCAGATCTGAGGGTGCACATATATACACACGCCCACAGAAACAGCTCCACCCCACAGGTTGGGGTTTGGATAGGAGGCATCCCCCAACCTCCTCTGTCATTGCAGGAACATTCAGAGGTGGAAGAGTGGACTGTGAGCGCCATAACCCAGCCAGTCCATCTAGCTTCAGTGGACTAACTGGTGGTCACTGTAGGCAGGTGAGGCGTGGCTGGAGGAGGTGGGTCACGGGGGAGTGCCCTGGAGGGGTGCCTCTTCCCTGGCCCCTTCTCCTCAATCCCTCTGCTTCCCATCTGTAGGAGAGCAGCTTTCCTCCACCTTGCCCTCTGCCGTGATGCTCTGCTCCCCAGGCCCAGAGCAATGAGTTGGGCCACTGTTAGAGTCTGTAAACAAGTCAAAATAACACCTGGCATTTTGCCAGGGGAATGTTAGAGTTTGTAAACAAGTCTGGATGGTGCCTGGCAAAATGCCAGAGGGAGTGGTTTGAGAAGTAACAAAAGCGAGCCATTAAGTGTGGAGATTCCTGATTGGTTGACTGATGTATCTAGTTTATGCTAATTAGATAAGCTGTGTGGAATGTATAAATACTGCTCCTGTCCTGCAATAAA